CCAGCCTTCTGGTTAGCAGTCAAGTGCCTTAGGCACTATGCTACCAGAGCTCCCTCTTTTTGGTACAGTTAGTGTATATTCCTTCCATCTTCTTTTGATGTTTCCTGTATCATTCAGTGTTTTGCCTATAAAATATTTCAGTATTGGAACTTGAGGGGTGAATTTTTTCCCTCAGTTCTTTCAGCTTGAAAAATGCTGAGTGTATTCTTCCCTTTTATAACTCCAGGTCTTTGCATATTTCATTATAGTAATTGGCTTTGTCTTCTCGTGATCTCACAGAATGTGGAAATTATGAAATTTCTCTTTGAAATCTTCTGTTCAGCTCTTTGATCTTGTCATTTCTTCCCTTTGCTTTAGGTACTTTCCATTGAAGGCCAAGTTTCACAGTCTCTTCTGACGTCCATTTTGGGCTTTTGTGCCTTTCCTGTCTTTTTAATGACCTTTTGTTTTCTTCATGGATGATGTTCTTGATGTCATCCCACAATACCTCTGGTTTTTGGTTACTGGTGTTCAGTGCATCAAATCTTTTCTTTAGATGGTCTCTATATTCAGGAGGGATATTACCAAGGTCATATTTTGGCTCTCATGGAGTTGTTTTAATTGTCTTCAGATTCAGCTTGAACTTACATCTGAGCAACTAATGGTCTGTTCCACAGTCAGCTCCTGGCCTTGTTTTGGCTGAACATATTGAGCTTCTCCATTGCCTCTTTCCACAAATGTAGTTGATATGATTCCTGTGTACTCCATCTGGTGAAGTCCATTTGTGTAGCCATCGTTTGTGTTATTGACAAAAGGTATTTGCAATGAATAAATCATTGGTCTTGCAAAATTCTGTCATGTGATCTCCAATGTTATTTCTATTTCCAAGGCCATATTTTCCAACTACTGGTGATTCTTCTTTGTTTCCAACTTTTGCATTCCAGTCACCAGTGATAATCAGCATATCTTGATTGCATGTTTGGTCAATTTCAGACTGCAGAAGTTGGTAAAATCTTCAATTTCCTCATCTTTGGCTTTGGCTTTGGTGGTTGGTGTGTAAATTTGAATCATAATAGTATAAGGAGCTCTGATGGCTTAATGGATAAAGCATTTGACTGCTAACCATAAGGTCAGCAGTTCAAACCTACTAGCTGCACCGTGGAAGGAGGACTGGGTGATCTATTTCCATAAAGATTTCAGCCTCAGAAACCCAGTGGACGTTGCTGTGAGTCAGAAATGACTCGATGGCAGTGAGTTTGGTTTTTGGTTTTTTAGTGTTAACTGGACTTACTTATAGGCGTATGGATATTATCTTGTCACTGACAGCATTGTACTTGAGGATAGATCTTGAAACAGTCTTTGTGACAATGAATGCTACACCATTCCTCTTTAATTTGTCATTCCCAGCATTGTAGATCATATGGTTGTCTGATTTAAAATGGCCAAAAACAGTCCATTTCTGCTCACTAATGCCTAGGATCTTAAGAGTAGGTTCTTCATATTGGAAGGATTTTGCATTGTGTAGAAGTGGAGAAAGTATCTTTATTCTGAAGCCCTATAATAGGTATTGCGCATTACAGTAGTGATAAAAGTTTACCTGTGTAGCCTAAGAATCTCTGGTGGCATAGTGGATAAGACATTTCGTTGCTAACTAGAAGGTCAGCAGTTCAAACCCACCAGCCTCTCTGCAGAAGGAAGATTTACAGCCTCAGAAACACAGTGGGGGTTGCTGTGAGTCAGAACTGACTCGATGGCAGTGAATTTGGTTTTGGTTTTGTTTGTGTAGCCTACTAACTGTAGGCCAGGGATGTTGTATGTTGCATGCTTTACATATATGAAGTCCTCTTAATAAGTTTATAAGGTAGATTCTGTTATTACCTATAGCTTTCAAATGGAAACTGAAGTTAAAAGAGAATAAATGATTTCCCCTTGTCCCACAGCTAGTAAGTTGAGGAGTTGCTGCCATTTCTCATTCACGTCCCCTTGTGTCTGACCTTTCCCCACTGGAAGCTGTTAGAATCTTCTTTCTTCCCAGTGTTCTGAAAGTTCAGAGTGACAAGAGCTTGGCATGTCTTCTAATTTAGCCTGGAAACTCAAGTCTCAGTTTTCAGAAGTTGTGTCTCCACTATTTCTTTGGTAACTTCCTCCAGTCTCTTTATTACTATTTTTAAAATTATTTTTTAATATGTGTTAATTGGCAGCTGGGCTTCCTGCCATAATCCTCCATTTTTCTTAAGGATCTCTCCTGTTTCCCATCACTTTCTGTTTTCTGGAAGATTTCCTCAACTGTATTTCATCTCTTGAATGTTTTATTTTTTGCTGTGCCATGGTAAAATATTCTGAGTATTTTCAATCAAATAATTACGTGTGTTCCTAACAGTAGGGGTCTAAACTAGTGTTTTTCCACAGTGGCTCTGTTGGCACTCTGGACCAGATAATTCTAGGTTGTGAAGGGCTGATATTGTGCGTTGTAAGATGTTTATCACCATCCTTGGCTTTTATCCACTAAATGCCAGGAGCTTCCCTGCCCCTAGCTGTGAGAGCCAGACTGCCCCCAGACACTGTCCAGCATCCATGGGGCGGGGAGGTGGAGGGAAGAGAGTCCGAGATGGGGCAAAGTCACCCCCAGCTGAGAACCATGAGGCTAAACTGTAAATGGAAATGTTATAAACTTGTCTGATCGCAGATTTAGCTATCCACTGCTGCTTTTAAAAGTGAACAATTGAATGGCATTGTACATTCACTGAGTTGTGCTGCCACCATCTCTGACCAGTTCCAAAGCATTTTCATCACTCTGAAAGGAAACCCAGTGGGCCTGGTCTCGTTCTATTGTACATAGCATGGCTGTGAGTTAGAGCTGACTTGACAGCACCTACCAACAATAGCAACAAAAGGAAACCCTGCACCTGTTATGCTTACTCCGCAACTCTTCCTATCCCCAACCTATGACAGCCACCAGAATGAATTCTTCTATAGATTGACTTAGTCTGAATATTTTATTTTGGAATCATGCTGTGTGACTTTTGTGTTTGGCTTCTTAACATGCCCCAGTTGTCCCAGTACTTTATTCCTTTTGATAGTTGAATATTCCCTTGTATGTGTATATCACATTTTATTTATCCATTCATTTGTTGATGAACATTTGGCCTGTTTCTTTATAGAAATGTTCACCCTCTTGGATTAATTATATTGTAATCCAAATTTGAGTGAAGCTAATTTTTCTCATTTGATGTTGAGATTTCTGATTTCTAGCCCATTACATTCCAATTAGAGATCTGAAAAAAGACCGCTGGGGGGTTGCAAATGGTTTATGCTTGACCACTAACTGAAAGGTTGGCAGTTTGAACCCATGCAGCAGCAATGTGGAAGAAAGGCCTGTGATTTGCTTTTGTAAAGGTTATAGCCAAGAAAACCCTACAGAACTCGATTTTAATATGTGACACTGGGGTTGCCATGAGTCGGAATTGACTCAGTGGCAGTGGATTTGGTTTTTTTGGTTTAGAGATCTGAAAGCATTTGGAAAGTAAAAGTTCAAATGTTGCTACTTAAAAAATCTTGTTCTCCTGTATTGACTAATTCCTTGCTTGAATTTGTGCTGAAGTACCCTGTAATCTAAACAGAGCACAAAATCCGTGTATCTTAATGGTAGGTTATTTAATCAAAAATCAACCAGGTGTTTTTTTTTCATCAAACTAGAAAGATTGTATTTAGGTTTCTTAGGATTTGAGAATAATGGGAAAGCTTAAGGAACATTAAGGTAATGAAACAGTATTTAAATGTTAATGCCTTCTAACTGTCCTGCCAACTGCTAAACAGACTGCATATTTAATTTTAATAATTCTTTTTCTTATAAGCATTTTTGAGACATGTAGAACTTTTCGGATAATCTGTTTCCTGTCTTTGTAAAACTAGGCTGCCATTTGTCGATGTAGCCAACCGCTGTCAGGGTTCAGTGCCAGGTGCCTGGAGGATGAGCATCTGCTTCAAGCTGTCAGTAAAGCCAATCCCGTCAACCGCTATATGTACGTCATGGACACCAGGCCCAAAGTACGTGTCTGAACACTGCACAGTGTGTTAGCGTGGTTATCCTTATTATGTTATCAATACGCATTCATACATTTGCCTATATTTAAAATATCTGAATCCTGATTTCAAATTAATCAATGCTAATGATATTAAGGAAATTATTGGAGTTATTTGAACATTGTATTTTGACATTCTTAAAGTTATATTGTAAGTAACTTTCTCCGGCTGATGAAATGTAATACAGGTCTACAAACCCCTTATCCCAAATTCAGAATTTTTGAGGAGTTTAGAAGCTGACATAGAATATATATATATTGTGTATCACGTAAATCCATTGGCAGACCTGGGGCAACAATCTGTAATCAAACATTAATATGCTAAATTTAAACATAGGTGGTATTTTTACTAAGTGAAGGTAAATAAAGACTAAAGATAAATTTGCATTAAGTTGTACTGCCAAATGAGTTTTAGAGTCAAATCTAAGAAAAAGTTTTTGGGTCTTACAGTTTTTTAATTTTGTTTTGATTTACAGACAGTAAGGTTTCACCTTGTGTGAGTTTTCACACACATACACTCATGCAGCTACTATTACCACCACAGTCAGGAGCTAGAGCAGTGCCATCACCCCTCATAAGTCCTTCCTGCCCCTCCCCCACCTTACTAGCCACTGGACTGTTTTCTTCCCTTATACTCTGTTTTATCTATGCCAGAATGTCATACAAGTGGCATCATACAGTGGGTAATTTCTCAAGACTGGCTTCTTTCACGTAGCATAGTTCATTTGATATTTCTCTATGTTGTTGCATGTACCAGTAATTATTTGAGCAGAGTGATGGAAATTCAGTGAAAGAGTCAGTGGGAAATTCTAGAAATAAAAAGCATGGTACAAGTACCTTTACCAGGCTTATCAGTAGAGTCAACCCAGCTGAGGAAATAATACATTAGCTTGAAGATGGGTCAGGAAAAGTTACTGAGCTGCAAAAACGAAATAGATCAGTACATGCAAGAGATATGGAACCAGATCATATAGTCTAATGTATGTATTGTTGGAGTCACAGAAGAAGAGAGAGAGAAATATTTGAAGAGATAGTTACCAAGAATTTTCCAAAAATAATGAAGGGCATCAAACCACAGATCCAAGAAGCAGAGCTAACACAAAGCAAAAATAAAATATTTCATACTGATGAAAGCCAAAGATAAAGAGAACACCCTAAACAGAGGGGAAAAAAAAGACATATTATGTACAGAAAAACAGTGAAATGTCAGGCAGTATTCTTCTTTTAGAATCCATAGAGTAACACGAAGCAGTAACTACTTCCCCTTTAAAAAATATTCTCTAATGCATTTTTCACTGTTCTTTGTTGCCTTAGAGGTGGTGAGAACCTCAGAGATTAAAGTGAGACACTGGGTATGTGTACACACACACTGTTGTAAAATGCCAGCATTTGTCATTTAAAGATCAACTTGGAAATGTCTTATGTCCTGTCTCCTATGTCTTCATATATGTATGGATTTAGGAACGCTAAGCTCTTGTTTTTTTGTGTGTCTTACATTACTGTGAAGAAATGTTAAACAGTGAGTGTTGTGAAAAATTACCAATTCTTATTATTATTCTTTACACAATTTTTAATTGACAACATACTTTGTGTGAAAACAGTGGACCTTAATTACAAATAATCAAGAAAATGAGGAAAACAGTGAATTAACTTAGGAAATACTGAGCTAAACAATAATAAATATTGAAGTGCTTGTTGTGTTACACATTTGTAGTCTAAGATTAAATTTTTATCATCAGGGCAAATGTCAGAACCCTTTGTTTTCTTTATTAACAACAGTTAAACATTCATTATAGGATCCTAAACCTAAACTAATTAAACTTCTCCATGATAGTAGCTAACATTACTTTTAATTTTTATTATAGCATCGCATGCAGAGCTGGTGGGCTACACAAAAGGACATTGACAGAATAATAGTGATGATTTCTTCAAAAATCTGGAATGATGAGGAAATAAGAAAAGGCGATGAGAAAAAGCGAGTGAGCGATTTAGAACACACACTTTTAGGCAGCTTTGTGACGGGAATGATCGTTCTCATCATTCTGCAATCTCGTGACAAAAGATAATGGAGGAAGTGGATTAATTTCAGTGAATTAGAAGTATTTTAAAATTAGAAAGGGTATCTATAAATTTGGTAGTTACTAATTTTGAAAAGACTTGCTTGGGAGTCAAAAATATTGGTAACATCTTAACAAAGATTTAAGAAAAATCTTTGATTTACTTCTTTATATAATCTGGGTGGATTAATTAGAAGTATTTTTAGGTAATAGTAGATAAATACAAAAGGTGGTTATACTATGCGACTTTCTGAAGATGAAGTCCGAGGGTGATTTGTTTCTCAGGATCTGACACCTCTTATTTGTGTAATTTTCTTCTACACAGAAAATACGTCGTTCTATGATTGTTTTAATCATCAGCCTTAAAATGTAGTAATCATGGGCAAGCATAGTTAACAGGAAGCTCTTAATTTTGCTTTAGTTATTGTCTGTGCTGCATAACCAGTGAGTCAGTACTTGTTACCAGCCTGGAACCCTAAACCAATGAATGGAAAAATACTTTTTTCTTTCAGTTTAGGTTCTATTTCATTCAAGTTCATAAGAATGTTTAATAAATTGTACATTGAAACCTGTGAGAGCCGGAACTCACAGACTGCTTTGTTTTTCCAGGTCTGGCAAGTTTTCTGCCTTAGGGTACATTCTTACCACTTTCTGTTGTCCTCTGTGAGTGGGAAATATTTGAGTTTTCCTTCTCTGACAGGTTTCCACTTTAAACAAGTTCTGGCTTTTGCTAGTTTTACTGTACTACAAATCCTGTTTGCAAAGAATTAAACATGCCAAAGCCTAAGTGAACCTCTGGTGACGGGCCAACAGGCAGTTGGTTTGTGTTCTAGAAATCAGTGTATTTTGGGCTCACTTCTTGGAGGTATATCAGGATAGAGGAGTAGATGCTGCACTGTTCACTCTTTGGGCTTGCGGTAATCTCTACTGTGGGGGACCTCAAGTGATCTGAGTCATATTTTGGGCTCTCTGTGGCTTTATAAATGATCTAGCACTTTAAGCTTGTGCTGCAGTGAATCTCATAGATTGATTCTGCAGAAGTAAAGCTGGTCAGATCTGCCAATCTCTGAATCACTTAGGATTTACGTAGGAGACGTTTTTATATTTTAGAATGTGAGATGTTACAAACATATGGAGAACTTGCTAAAGGTATAAATGAATTAGCTTCATTAATTACTTGTGTGGAAGTTCCTGTCTGGACCTTTCCATTATATAGTAATCATATTGTTGTTTTTTAGTATCCTTCCTTACCATTACTAATGTGTGACATTTTTACTTATTAAAAAGAAGTAGCTTATTTAGTTTTGATGAATTTCTTTAAACTCTGCACACTAAATTATCGCATATCAAGAATCAAGTGTTCACAAGACATTTTGATAAGCTAAGTTAAAAGATAAAAGTAATTTGTCTTTAAATTTCTAATTTTTTTTTTACTTTAGCTGAATGCTATGGCCAACAGAGCAGCTGGAAAAGGTTATGAAAATGAAGACAACTATTCTAACATTAGATTTCAGTTTGTTGGGATTGAAAATATTCATGTCATGAGATCCAGCCTTCAGAAATTATTGGAAGGTATGATTCCTGCTTATTTTCTAGGCAGCTTTGTCCAGTAGAAATATAATACTAGTCATAATAATATTAAATTAAATTAAAAATTTATTTTTTAAATTTTCAAGACCTAAAAAGCAACACATGAAAGTGAATTAAAATATATTTATTTAACCCCAAAATAAAAACATTCTCTCAACATATGTTGTTATGTGCCGTCGAGTCGTCTCCTACTCATAGCAACCTTAGGTACAACAGAACGAAACACTGACCGGTCCTGTGCCAGCCTCATGATCCCTACTATACTTTAGCCCATCGTTACTGCCGCTGTGTCAATTCATCTTGTTGAGGGCCTTCCCGTTTCTTGTTGACCCTCCATTTAACCAAGCATGATATCCTTCTCTAGGGAATGGTCCCTTCTGACAATATGACCAAAGTAGGTGAGACGAAGTCTGGCCATTCTCACTTCCAAGGAGCATTCTGGCTGTACTTCTTCCAGGACAGATTTGTTAGTTCTTCATGGTGCTTTCAATATTTTTTGCCAACACCATGACTCAAAAGCATCAACTCTTCTTTAGTCTTCCTTATTCATTGCCCAGCTCTCATATGCATGTGAGGCAATTGAAAAATACCATCATTTGGGTTCAATGCATCTTAGTCTTCAAGGAGATATCTTTGCTCTTCAGCACTTTAAAGAGGTCTTTTGCAGCAAATTTGCCCAATGCAATATGTCTTTTGATATCTTGACTGCTGCTTCCATTGGTGTTGATTGTAGAACCAAGCAATATGAAGTCTTTGACAACTTCATTCTTTTCTCCATTTATTGTAATGCTGCTTATTGGTCCAGTTGTAAGGATTTTTGTTTTCTTTACATTGAGGTATAATCCATACTGTATAAATGTCTAATACAACAATTAAAGATTGAAGTGTTTAATCTTCATCAGTAAGTGCTATAAGTCATCCTTACTTTCAGCAAGCAGTGTTGTGTCATATGCGTATTTCAGGTTGTTAATGAGCCTTCCTCCAGTCCTGATGCCACGTTCTTCTTCATATAGTCTAGCTTCTTGGATTATTTGCTCAGCATATAGATTGAATAAGTATGGGGAAAGGATGCAACCCTGATGCACTCCCTTCCTGATTTTAAGCCATGTAGTATCTTTTTGTTCTATTTGAACAACAGCTTTCTGGTCTGTGGACAGGTTTCTCATGAGTACAGTCAAGTGTTCTGGAATTCCCATTCTTCTCAGTGTTATCCATAATTTGTTATGATCTACACAATCAAATGCCTTTGTATAGTTAATAAAACACAAGTGAACATCTTTCTGGTATTCTTTGCTTTGAGCCAAGATCCATCTGATAACAGCTATGATATCCCTTGTTCCATGTCCTCTTCTGAATCCAGCGTGCATTTCTGCAAGTTCTTTGTCAGTATACTGCTGCAGCCCGTTTTGAATTATCTTCAGTAAGATTTTACTTGCGTGTGATATCAATGATACTGTTTGATAATTTTCACATTCTGTGGGATCACCTTTCTTTGGAATGGGTACAAATATAGATCTCTTCCAGTCAGTTGGCCAGGTAGCTGTCTTCCAAATCTCTTGGCATAGCCGAGTGAGTCCCTCCAGTGGGCATCCCTTTGTTGAAACATTTCAGTGGATGTTCTGTCAATTCCTGGAGCCTTGTTCTTCGCCAATTCCTTCAGTGAAGCTTCGACATTTTCCTTCATTACCATTGGTTCTTGATCATATGCCACCTCCTGAAATGGATGATCATCTACCAGTTCTTTTTGGTCCAGTGACTCTGTGTATACCCTCTATCTTCTTTTGCCTGCATCATTCAACATATTGCCCAAGGAATCTTTCAATATTGTAATTAGAGGCTTAAATTTTTCCTTCAGTTCTTTCAGCTTGAGAAATGCCAAGCGTGTTCTTCCCTTTTGGTTTTCTAACTCCAGGTCTTTGTACACTTCATTATAATAATTTATTTTGTCTTCTTGAGCTGTTCTTTGAAATCTTCTGTTCAGCTCTTTTATCGATACTTCTATTTGCTTTAGCTACTCTCCATTCAAGGCCAAGTTTCAGAGTCTCTTCTGACATCCATTTTGGTCTTTTCTTCCTTTCCTATCTTTTTAGTGACCTTTTGCTTTCTTCATGGATGATGTTCTTTATGTCATCCCACAATTCTTCTGGTGTTTGGTCATTGGTGTTCAATGATCAAATCTGTTCTTTAGATGGTCTCTAAATTCAGGCGGAATATAATCAAGGTCATGTTTTGGCTCTCATGGACGTGTTTAATTGTTTTCAGCTTCAACTTGAACTTGCATATGAGCAGTTGATGATCTGTTCCACAGTCAGCTCCTGGCCTTGTTTTGGCTGAAGATGTTGAGTTTCTCCATAACCTCTTACCACAGATGTAGTTGATCAGATTCCTGTGTACTCCATCTGGCAAAGTCCATGTGTATAGCCACCATTTGTGTTGTTGAAAAAAGGTATTTGCAACAAATAAGTTGTTGATCTTGTAAAATTCTATCATGCGATCTCCAGCGTCATTTCTATTACGAAGGCCATATTTTCCAACTACCAGTGATTCTTCTTTGTGTCCAGCTTTTGCATTCTAATCACCACATCTTGATTGCATGTTTGGTCAATTTCAGAGTGCAGAAGTTGGTAAAAGTCTTCAATTTCCTCATCTTTGGCTTTGGTGGCTGGTGTGTAAATTTGAATAATAGTAGTATTAACTGGTCTTCCTTGTAGGCATATGGATATTATCCTATCACTGACAACACTGTACTTCAGGACAGGTCTTGAAACATTCTTTGTAATGATGAATGCCACTCCATTCCTCTTCAATTTGTCATTCCTGGCACAGTAGATCACATGGTTCTCTGATTCGGAATGACCAAAACCAGTTCATTTCAGCTCACTAATGCTTAAGATGTCGATCTTTATGTGTTCCATTTCTTTTCTGACAACTTCCCATTTTCCCAGGTTCATACTTTGTACATTCCATGTTCTGATTATTAATGGATGTTTACAGCTGTTTCTTCTTATCTTGAGACATGCTGCATCAGCAAATGAAGGTTCTGAAAGCTTTACTCTTTCCTCATCATTATGGTCAGCTCTACTCTGAGGAGGCAGCTCTTCCTCAGTCCTATTGTGAGTGCCTTCTGACCTGAGGGGCTCATCTTCTGGCACTATATTGCTAATATTTCAGGGCTGTTCATAAAGTTTCCCAATGATATATCAGACAGTGTTTCACTGCTATTCATAAGGTTTTCACTGGTCAATTTTTTGAGAAATGGATGGCCTCTTCCTTCTTCCGAGTCTGTCTTAGTCTGGAAGCTCCACTGAAGCCACCACGGGTAACCCTGCTGGTGTTTGAAACACTGGTGGCATAGCCTTCAGCCTCACAGCAACACACGAGCCACCACCATAAGACAAAGTGACAGACAAGTTTGTCTTCCTTAGTTGTTCCAAACCATTCCACTCACTTCCCGGCCTCCTGCAGCTGCTCTGTCTGCCCCTCCCGGCTCACTGATGCTTACTGGCGCTGCCCTCAGGTGCCCCGACACGTGCCTGCCAGTGCCCACTTAACATGTAGTCAATATGACAAATATGAGTAATAAAATATTTTACTTTTTTAAACAATCAAGTCTTAGAAATCCTGCGTGTATTTTACACTTCCAGTGCATCTCAGTCTGTACCAGCTATGTTTTAACTGTTCAGTAGCTGCATTAAGTCACTGTAGTGGACAGTGGAATTACAGGGGTTAAGTAGATATTCCTGAATAGGCAGTCCAGTGAAAATTCATGTATGGTAATACTGTTCTTTTTAAATAGTAAAGTATCTTTCTAGTCATGGTGTGACATTTTAAAAAGTAAGATACCATACTACTTTTAGTTAAACACTTGTGCTACAATTTTTTTTTTTAAGGAGATTGGAATATTAAAGTGTAAGAAATGGTGGGAAAATATACCAAAAAAAATCCAGTATTGAGCTTCTAGTAGCATCTTTTCTTTATAAAGAGTCTTGCCTATTTATTTTGTTCTCCTCTTCTCTTTCCCTGTAGTTACTCACCTAGAGATCTATTGAATAGGAGCAGTGGAGACTATCTCCATTCTAATTAAATTCTTCCTTGTCTTTCAGTCAGTGGTACCAAAGGGCTGTCTGTCAATGACTTCTACTCTGGGATGGAGAGTTCCGGATGGCTTCGCCATATCAAAGCTGTTATGGATGCTGCAATCTTCTTAGCCAAAGTAACTCTTTATCCCTAATATTTGGTTCTGGAGTTTATAATATTTGGAAAGGAATGGATTTATTCTGTTGGGTGTTGGTATCTGTCCATTCAGTTGACTTTTTTTATGCTTTACTTCTTTAAGGAGACTCACCTTAACTTGATATTCATAAATATCATACAGCGCTTAATGCAGGAACTTAAAAAGAAGTTCTCATATACTTTGAAACAGAATTTTTGTCATATTTTTGCTGCGTGCTTTGGGTTTTTGTTGTGTTTTGTTTTGGATTTTGGAAATTATGCTGTGGCAGCATTACCTTTACAATGAGCTTTTCTTTATGTTGCAGTGTGTGTGCTAAGGACCAATTTGAATCCACTCTCCAAAATGTGGAGATTGGTCCAAACCTCACGTTCTCACTTCTCTATCTGTGTCACCAGCCACCCCCGTGGCATATTGTCTTTGTGACCCTAGCCTCCTGGAGCTAGGTCATAGCTCACAAGTTAAAAGGACATCCTTCTGATCTGCTGGCCACCGATTGGGGGCTAGTTTCCCACAACCTTTTCAGGCTGCCAGGGCTCAGGAATTCACACAACATCCTTCCTTTTTGACCTGCTGGCTTCCCATGCCCCTCTGTGTTCACTGGAATGACTCACAGAACTCACAGCCTGTACCATACTTTGACTACAGATTTATTGTGGCCAAAAGGATACAAATGAAGAGTCTGCCAGACTCTCCAATGCTTACCTTCTGTGTCCCAAGGAGCACACCATTCTCCTAAGAACAGATGTTCTTGTTACCAACTAGGAAGCCCTCAGAGCCTTCGTGTTCTGGGTTTTTATTGGCCAGTCCAGCCTGATAAGCTAAGTCCTGTCTCCTGAGGCTAGTGGATATTGACTTCAGGTGAGTCTTTTTTGGTATGGTTAATCCCTACTCTCCAGCACAAATCTTCAGCTGTGGTCTGGAAATCTCAGACCAAGGCACCCCAGTTCCTCCAAGGAACCAAAGACAAAGGCTACTTTCCTTAGGGTAAAACTAGGTCCTTTATTCCACAAATACCTACTCATGTCCAAACCCAACACACTGCTGTCTGGCCCATTCTGTCTCACAACGACCCTGTAGGATGGAGTCAAACTGCCCTGTTGAGTTTCCAGACTGCCTCATCTTTCTCCTGCAGAGTGGCTGGTGGGTTCGAACCACTGACCTTCCATTTAGAACCTAGCACTTTGACCACTGCGTCATCAGGCCTCAAGTATAGTTTGGAGTAAACAGAACATCTTGATTTATCTGAAATGTAGTCTCCCAGAGTGTAATATGTGATCTTTCCTTTTAGGCTATAGTGGTTGAAAATGCAAGCGTGTTGGTACATTGTTCTGATGGTTGGGATAGGACTTCCCAGGTGTGTTCCCTTGGCTCTCTGCTACTGGATTCCTACTATAGGACAATCAAAGGATTCATGGTAGGTACTTACTTGGCTAGACTGGTGGTTCTCAAATGCCCCCCTGCCCCTCAGTGACAGTTGTTGATGTTTGGAGATGTGTTTGGTTGTCACACTGATGGAACACTGCAGCTGGATCTAGCTGGTAAGGCAGGAATGTGTGTTTATGGATCTTCTGTTGCCCAGAACAGTCTCCACACAAAGAACTGCCTGGCCTCAGTGTTAGCAGTGCTGAGAGCGAGACCCAGAGTGACACTTCCTGTCATCTGTGCCACTGCTTTGACAGAAAGTTTGAGATTTAAAGGCTTTTTTTCTTTTTTCTCCTAAAATGTTACAACAGCAATATTCAGTATTTTCTCTCTCATTTTCATTTGAGGCCCAGATAAACAGACTTAAAAACTTGTATCCTAGAGGAGCTTTCTGTGCAGAGCTGCAGACTTTGATGAGTGTCCTGTGTCAGGTGGCTCGTTTTTCTCTGCAGATTAAATTTCTAGTTGAACAGATTGTCTCCTTTATAAAAATACATTTCTGGCTCCTGCTTTTTTTTTTTAAAACATACGAGCAAATTAATTAACGTTTTCAAAATGTACATCATAATTTGTGGTGAATGAAGGAAATGAGATGTTAGAAAGTTTTCATCTGCCTAGAATTATTTAACTGCAGTTGTAAAGCAAGGGAAGATTTAAAATCACCAGGCCCCTCTTGTTGTTAGGTGCCATCGACTCAGCTCTGACTCATGACAACCCTATGTACAACAGAACGAAATATAGCCAGGTCCTGCGCTGTTATCACAATCTTTTCTTGAGCCCATTGTGGCAACCACTCTGTTGTTAAGGTCGACTCTGCTTTGAGGAGGCAACTCTTCCCCAAGTGTATTTTGAGTGCCTTCCAAACGAATGGGGTTATCTTCTGGCACTGTATCAGTGTTTCACTGTTGTTCATGATGTTTTCCAGTGGTATATCAGACAGTGTGTCACTGCTATTCAGAATTTCAGTGGCCAATTTTTTTGGATGTGGATGGCCCCTTCCTTTTTCCTAGTCAGTCTGGAAGCTCTGCTGAAGCACGTCCTCCATGGGTGACCCTGCTGGTTTTTGAAACACTGGTGGCATGGCTTCTAGCATCGCCGCACCACATAAGCCACCACAGTACAACAGACTGACAGACAAGTGGTGGAGGCCTCTCTTAGCACTGTCATTTTGTGGTGCTGACATTTGGAATCTGGGACAGGCCAGATGGGAGGGCTGTTAATAAGAAAATGACACTCAGCAAAAAAGGATAGCTTTCCTTGAGAGATAACATAAGGAATCGCTTTCTTCGCCATGTTTGGCTTTGAAGTGTTTGCTAGACACCTGCGCTCATGTGATAAAATGACCAGGAATGATTTGAGAGCTTCCCAGGCAGGACCACTGTGAATGAAAGCATTCCTCTTTCCAGTGACTACACATCATTGTTATCAGGGCGGGAGGGATTGGGGCAGGGTAGATGGGGGTCAGAGGTGCAGGGAAATGAGAATGGGATGAGAGCCTGAGAAAGGGAAGGTGGGCAGGCTGGAATTTCGACTGCAGCCTTTTTGGGGTCTGAGAATCCGTTATAGAACTTTAAATAGAGGTAACAGTAACATGGTCAGATCTACTGTTTAAAAAGATGGGGAATGGAGGCCAGGAGAGCAGCACAGAAAGGGCTGTAATAACATAGGAGAGAAGAGAGGGCCAGAACTAAGGCAGTGACATGTAAATGGAGGGGGAGGTGGTGGTTTCCAGGGATGTTAGACAGTAGTAAGAGTTGGCCAAGGACTGGATGTGGTAGAAGACAGGAGTATGCTCTTGGCTGACTTCCAGGGCCTTGTCTTGGTTGCCAGGGTGCACAGTGGTGCTCCTCATGGAGATAAGCAGAGGAATAGGTAAGGTCGCAAAAGTGGTGGAGCTAGGATTTGAACCCATGCAGTATGGGCTCCAGAAACTGCATTCTTTACTATTGCATTGTACAACTTTCTACAGAAATTAGAGACTTAAGACAAAATCAGTGAAGCTAAAAGTGGGAATTTTGACACCATGAAAAATGTGCCTGCCTGGTGATAATGTAAAGAAACTATAAATTAAGTACTAAGAAGATATGTTTATATTAAACTGAAAAAATTAGAAACCTGTTATGGCTATGAAATAGTTAAACAGAGAAGCTATGACAGAGAAACCAGATGATAGAGAAAGACAGTCCACCCAGGAGGCTAGATAACAGTGGGATCTGAAAATATTAAAGTACTGTTTGCATTGGTCTCTCATCCTGTGTTTTAAAAAGTATTATATAATTAATGTGCTAGGAAGTCAAAGGTATAAAATACCCACAGTAATTTACCAAAACCAAAAACCAAAGTCGATTATGACTCATAGAGACCCCCACTGGGTTTCCAAGCCTGTAAATCTTTATAGTAGATTCCCTCATCTTTCTTCTGCAGAGCAGCAGGTAGGATCAAACCACTGACCTTTTGGTTAGCAGTGAAATACCTTAACCACTACACCACCAGAGCTCTTTAATCTACCAGCAAGAGTTAAACACTGTTAACATTTTGATTCACATTTTTCTAGCCTTATTTCTGTGCAACTATCATCTTCATACATCCAAAAGTTTAGATGTAATACTGCTTTTTAACACATTTTTCACTTAAAATATAATGAATACAGCAGAAATAATTCAGGTCACAAGACCACTCTGTTTCTTTCTATGTATCATTTTCATTCGTTAACCCCATAATCAAGTTCTAATCCACCTTCCCCATAACCATAAATTAAAATATATATTAATGCCGATTTTCAGCTATATTTACTCCATTCTAAACAAAAACATTGACAGTTGTTACAGCATGAATTTTACTTTTTCTTCTTAAGGTTTTAATAGAAAAGGATTGGATCTCCTTTGGACATAAATTTTCAGAGAGGTGAGTCACAATCATGCGTTTATGTATTTTGTAAAGCTGGTAAAATTAGTTGCGATTACCAAAATGGTTCTGTCCTTTGTGAACTTGCATATCTAAGGGGAGGTAACAGTACTGTGATCTTGTCTAATTTTTACCTTTCTTTCATCTTTTAAATTCTAACATGTTGGTTATTTTTCATGGCTATTCAATATCTTCTTTTTTGGTTAGATTGTAATATTTAGAAGGTAACAGATCCTTTAAAGCTGTGGTTGAAAAACTTACTATCGATTTTTTCCTTAAAACATTACAGTTCTTCTGTGCTGATGTAACAATGTTTTAGGAATTTTTTTTATATGTGTTTACATTTTGCAATACCTGAATAATGGACTTCTGCCAGAGGCATTTTTAAAAGCTTGTACTTTTTTGTGGGGTTAGGTGTGGCCATTTGGATGGTGACCCCAAGGAAGTCTCACCAGTGTTCATTCAGTTTTTGGAGTGTGTGTGGCATTTGAGCGAACAGTTCCCACAAGCCTTTGAATTCAATGAAGCGTTTCTTCTTCAGATCCATGAGCATACTCATTCATGCCAATTTGGAAACTTCCTTGGGAATTGTCAGAAGGAAAGAGAAGAACTCAAGTAAGATGTTTGATTGTGATAGACCTTTTTATTTATTTTTTTTAGCCTACCTACTTGCGGTCTGAGATAAATCACAGTTAATCACATATCTTGACAGTATGAAATAGCACTGAGTTTGATTATAAAGATTTTATTGGCCATATTTCTGAAGCTAAGTACTCTCTGAGTATCCTCCAACCCCTAAGGTTAATGGTAAATATCTATTTTTAAAATAACAGGAAATACATACGGTGTAAGTGTGAGGTTCAGTACATTTTAACAAACCAGCACCCAGATCAGGAAATACTACCAACATGCTGGAAGCTGCTCTCATGCTCCTTTCAGTCTGAATATATTTTCTAGGATGAAGAAGTCTTGGCACTATTTTATTTCCCGGGAAGTATTGGTCATAAGCTTTAAAGTGTGGTAAAAGGTTTTATAACTGTTGCTCTTTTTTAAGTTAAAATGAAGCCTACAGCTCCTACTTCAAAGCAGCTGGTTGGCTGCAGGATGTCTGTCCCCCACTTGGGTCTCTGATGAGCTCTGAGACATTGTACTTGACTCTGGCTCACCTACTCTTGCCTAACCAGTCTTCATGGGTAGCGTTTTCCATTAAACTTTGATGCAAGGGAGATCTGGAGTAAGGCTGAGGGGTCCTATAAATCTTTAAGTTGGGCTTAAGAATTTAGATTTCTTACCAAACCAAAACCAAACCCACTGCCATCGGGTCAGTTTCGACTCACAGTGGCCCCCCCCATGGGGTTTCCGAGATGGTAAATCTTTGCAGAAGTAGATTGCCCTGTCTTCATTCCGTGAAGTGGCTGGTGGATTTGAACCACCAGCCTTCTGGTTAGCAGTCAAATGCGTTAGGCACTGTGCCACCAGAGCTCCTTAGGTTTCTTACAGTAGAGAATTTATAGATTCTAGAACATAGAAGTGATGTGTTAGAAGGTAAATCTAGTAGCAGCAGCTTGAGGACAGCCACATACTCTCACTCTGGACTGGGTGCCATGTACTGGATGCTTTCAGTAATTGGAATAAAGAAGTTGTGGAGGCAGAAGCTGTGGCTGGGGACAGTACCTGATAGTTTGGAAGTGGTGAGTGAATAGAATAGGTTGATGGCAGAACTGTGAGTAAGTGGAAGCTTCTAAAGCTGTTGTGTAGGGGAGAGAGAGTAATGACCGTGAGGAAGAAGTCAAAGAACAGGGAGACTTCAGCTCTCGTAATTACAGGGCTCTAGGAATTATTACATGTAGTACTTACTGTAATTTGGAGCAGATGACTCTTCTTGGAGTACAGAGCTATTTTCGGAAAAAGTAGTCTCAGTTAGTAGCAAATGTCCTTGCAAATTGAAAGTAATAAGAGCGGGTGTTTTCTGATAGTCTGTCTAAGAAAATATGGGCTGTTTACCAAAACCAAACCTGCTGCCATCAAGTTGATTCCTACTCATCGCAACCCCCATTGGGTTTCCAAGGCTGGAAATCTTTATGGAGGTAGATTGCCTCATCTTTCTCCTGCAGAGCAGCTGGTGGGTTTGAACCAGTGACCTTGGGGTCAGCAGGCAAATGCCTTACCCACCACACCACTAGAGCTCCTATGGGTTATCTTAGGGGTCACAGAAAAGAGAGATGATTCGCCACCTTTTCCAACTATCTTCTCTTCCCCTTTTGCTACCTATGTTCAGTTTGCTCTGTAACACACTGTCTAAAACTGTTCTGCTGCTGCTGCTTTTTTTTTTTAAATTTTACTATCGAGTAATGATTTCATCCCATTTTCCTTATTGTACCCACTCAAACTTAAATTTATTCTGCCTTATAATACTTGCCAGGAGCTCTGGTAGCGTATTGCCTAAGGCACTTGACTGCTAACCAGAAGGCTGGCAGTTCAAACCCACCAGCCACTCCTTGGAAGGAGGGTTGGGCAATCTGCTTCCATAATGATACTGCCTCGAAAACCCAAGGAAGGGTTGCTATGAGTTAAGTCTATGACAACAACATAATACTTGCCACTGCAGTCCAGATATGGGGTTAAGGGAATAAAGCCAAAAAGGGAGATAAATTTGTTTCTTTTTCTGTGTAGATGTGTGTGGTGATTAAAATAGGTGTAGTGAGGACCAAGTTTATGCTTAACATTTGCTTAAGAAATTATGTGAAGTAAGAGAAAATCAGAAAACCAAACCCTCTGCCATCGAGTCAGTTCCAACTCACAGCGCCCCGTAGGACAGAGTGGAACTGCTCCACAGGGTTTCCTCCAAGGCTGTGAATCTTTATGGAAGCAGACGGCCTCATCTTTCTCTCATGGAGTAGCTAGTAGGTTAGAACTGCCGACCTTTTGGTTAGCAGCCCAGTGCTTTAAGCACAGTGCCACCAGAGCTTTAGTAAGAAAGGAATGTCTTAAAGTGTGTGGTTGTGTGAGAAAATGGTATATTGGAGTTGTGTTTGAGAGACATGATTTTATTAGTGACATGATTATGGGTGAAAAGGAGAAAAGAAAGACTACAGAATTCAGGGATGCGCAGAGATTGGTCTGTGACTAGAAGGCCAAAATGTAAATCTACTTTGAAAGCTTATTTGAATAATAAAAAAGTGAGTATTAGTGCTAATACTGTTCATCCATTGGAAAGAGCTTTCTGTTTTTCTGATTGTCATTAAGGTTGAAGGAGAAGACTTACTCCCTATGGCCGTTTCTTTTGGATGACCAAAAGAAGTACTTAAATCCTCTCTACAGTTCCAAATCACAGAGATTTATGGTCTTGGATCCAAGTACAGTGTCTTTCAATTTTAAGTAAGTTGACATAATTGAAGCATTTATACTTGATTGTTCTCAAACGTAGTTTATTGAAACTTGTCTTTTTCTCATAAAGGTTTTGGAGAAACATGTACCACCAGTTTGATCGAACATTGCATCCCAGGCAGTCCATGCTAAACATAATTATGAATATGAACGAGCAGAATAAACAGCTAGAGAAAGAGATTAAAGACCTAGAATCTGTAAGTACTCTCAAGTATTTGACATGATATATTTGGAATATTAAATTACTTCCTTACTTGTATGGAGCTCTGGTGGCATAGTGCCTAAGGCATTTGACTGCTAACCATAAGGCTGGCGGTTCAAACCCACCAGCCACTCCTCAGAAGGAAGATTGAGCAATCTACTTCTGTAGAGATAACAGCTCGGAAACCCAGGGAAGGGTCATGAGTCGGGACCAACTTGACAGCAGTGAGTTTGGTTTTTTGGTTTTCCTTACTTGTGTTGCCAATGTGAATTACTGTGTACAATCTCACAAGTACACATGTGAGTTATTGTGTACAACCATGCAAGTACACAGGGTTACTTCAAAATCAGTTCTCCTCAATTATCATTGAATAGCTTAGTTTGAATGGCTTTCTCTGTGTTGTAAAATATTTTGAAGTACTTGAAATATATAGAAAGCTGTAGCGATAAATGTAATAAACAGCCAGGTGCCCACTACCTAGCTTTGTGAGATATTAACATCACATTTGCTTCAGATCTTTCTTGTTTTTGCTTTGACAAATAAAACTTTATAGATATGTTTGAAGACCCTTGTGTACTCCTACTCGGTCCTGCTGCCTGCTTCCTCTCTTGTCTACTTTGAGGTGGGCAGATTCACTGTGCTGAATTTGGTGTTACCATTCCATATGTATTTTTGTACTTTTGCTACATGTTTGAATCCACAATTTGTAGTAGTGTTTTGCATAATTTGAAAAGGCTGTATTATATGTTGAAAAGGAAGCACTGGTGGCATAGTGCCTAAGCCAGTTGACTGCTAACCAAAAGGTTGGCAGTTCAAACCCACCAGCCACTCCTTGGAAGGAAGATTGGTCAATTTGTTTCCGTAGCGATACCATCTCGGAAACCCAAGGAGGGGTCGCTATGAGTTGGAGATGACTTGATGCCACATAACAACAACATATGTTGAAAAACAGAGAAGAATATGTATATTATCTGTGTAAGGTTTAAAGAACAGCAGACAAAATGAAAACTCACGTGCCCTTCTCTCAGCTTAAAAAACTGCGTGTTTTTTTAGAAAGCTTTTTGTACTGTCGATATGCTGTATTTTGCTCAACATTGTAGCTTGAGTTCATGTTTCATTAGTAACTGCTGAGTAGTAGCCTATTGCATGGATGTCACAGTTGATCCTTCCACTGAGAAGGAACATTTAAACTGTTGTCAGTTTTGTATTTCTATGAATTACGAGTGAAGTCTTTTTATATGTTTGCTGGCCCTTTGGTTTTTCTTTTCTGTGAATGGCCTATTCAGGCCTTGGTTCATTTTTCTGTTGCCCTGTCTGCCTTTTCCTTACTGATTTCTAAGGGTTCTTTATACAGTAAAACCTGCCAAAGCTGGAGCCCAACAGGACTGCGTTGTTTTTCTAGGTCTCGCCCTTTGACAGGATGGTGTCTTATTAGGCTTATTCTTAAAACAATCAGAAACCAAACCCATTGCTGTGGAGTTGACTCTGATGCATAGCGACCCTACATTAGGCCTTGTAGGCTGAATAATTTGCATTTTCCACCTTACACACTTGGGTTTCCCAGGCAGTATCACTACAGAAACCCAAGGAGGGGTCGCTATGAGTCGGGGCCAACTTGACAGCACATAACAACAACAACAGGCTGAAGTAATTTGCATTTTCCACCTTACACAGGTTCCGGCTTTCACAGGTTTTATTGTGTCCTGGGCGGTGATTCTTTATTGTATGCGTACGGACAGCTTTGTCCTGTCATACTGGTCTTGCCGCTTTATGTTATGTTTTACAATAGATGTTTTAAATGATCATGTTATCAAATTGACCTATCTTTGTTTCATGCTTTTGTTTTATCTTCTTTAAGAAATCTCTCCCCACCTTAAGGTTTTCCTGTAATCTTTTCTTTACCATCAAATGTAACAAAAAGGGATCAGTAACTGGATAAATACATAAAAACCCTCGACAGTTGTTTAAGCTCAGGAAGACTTTCTTGTCTACTTTCCAGGCAGGAGTGTTGCTTAGCCGTCCCTGAGAGACGGAAGTGTCTTCTCTCAGAGACACCAGAGTCCGTGCGGGGAGGGTCTGTTGAAACAAAACCAAGCCCCAGGAACAGGCCGTGCAGACAGTCTGCAGGTTGTCCAGGTTTGGAGAACACGAGTCTCTGCCAAAGGACACTTTTCAGTCTTAGCTTTTTGGGGTGGGGGAAGGTGGAGCTTCTGTTGTTTTAAAGTCTGTTGTGTTCACTTAGCAAACCAGCAGAGGGCAACCACGTAAGAAAAAGCTCCTTATGTTTGTTGTACTGTGGTGGCTTGCGTGTTGCTGTGAGGCTGGAGGCTTCCACCGGTGTTTCAAATGCCAGCAGGGTCACCCACTGTGGCAGGTTTCTGCAGAGCTTCCAGACTAAGACTCCGAAGAAGGAAGGGGCCATCCACTTATCAAAGAATTGGCCAGTGGAAACCTTATGAGTAACAGTGAAACACTGTCTGATACATTACTGGAAAACTTTATGAATAGACCTGAAACATTGTCCGATATAGTGCCGGAAGATGATTCCATCGGCTCAGAAGACACTCAAAATACGACTGGGGAAAAGCTGCCTCCTCAGAGTAGAATCGACCTTAATGATGTGGATAGAATAGAGTTTTTGGGATCTCCATTTGGTGATGTGGCAAAACTTAAAATGGGAAGAAATAGCTGCAAATATCTATTAATATCGGAATGTGAAATGTACGAAGTCATGAATCCAGGAAAATTGGAAGTTGTCAGAACTGAAATGGAAAGCATAAAGATCGATGTCCTCGGCACAGTGAGCTGAGATGGACTGGATTTGGCCATTTTGAATCAGACAACCATATGATCTACTATGCTGGGAATGACAAATTGAAGAGGAATGGCATGGCATTCCTTGTCACAAAGAATGTTTCCAGATCTGTCCTGAAGTACAGTGCTGTCAGTGACAGGATAATATCCATGTGCCTGTAAAGAAAACCAGGCAATACTACTACTATTTACACACCAGCCACCAAAGCCAAGGACAAGGAAATTGAAGATTTTTACCAACTTCTGCAGTCTGAAATTGACCAAACGTGTAATCAATATATGCTGATTATTACTGAGAATTAGAATGCAAAAGTTGGAAACAAAGAAGAATCACCAGTAGTTGGAAAATACGGTCTTGATAACAAATAATGCTGGAGATCGCATGATAGAATTTTGCAAGACCAATGACTTATTATTGCAAGTACCTTTTCTTCAACAACAGAAACGGTGGCTATACATGTGGACTTTGCCAGGTGGAACACACAGGAATCAGATTGACTACATCTGTGGAAAGACATGATGGAGAGGCTCGATATCTTCATCTAAAACAATGCCAGGAGCTGACTGTGGAACAGACCATCAATTGCTCATATGCAAGTTCAAGTGGAAGCTGAAGACAATTAAAACAAGTCCACAAGAGCCAAAATATGGCTTTGATTATATCCCACCTGAATTTAGAGACCATTTAGAGAATAGATTTGATACAGTGAACACCGATGATTGAAAACCAGAGGGATTGTGGGATGACATCAAGAACATCATCCATGAAGAAAGCAAAAGGTCATTAAAAAGACAGGAAAGGAAGAAGAGACCAAAATAGATGTCAGAAGAGACTCTAAAACTTGCTCTTGAACAGAGAGTAGCTAAAACAAATGGAAGAAATGACAAGATAAAAGAGCTGAGCAGAAGATTTAAAGAGTAGCTCAAGAAGACAAAGTCAATTATTATGAATTGTGCAAAGACCTGGAGTTAGAAAACAAAAAGGAAAGAACATGCTCAGCATTTCTCAAGCTGAAAGAACTGAAAGCTTAAAAAAATTTAAGCTTAAAAATTCAATTCAATTCAAGCTTAAAAAAATTTAAGCCTTGTGTTGCAATACTGAAAGATTCTAGAGGCAAAATACTGAATGGTGCAGGAAAAATCAAAAGAAGATGGAAGAAATACACAGAGTTACTGTACCAAAAAGAATTGGTTGATGTTCATCCATTTCAGGAGGTGGCATGCAATCAAGAACCAATGGTATTGAAGGAAGAAGTTGAAGCTACACTGAAGCAACTGGTGAAAAACAAGGCTCCAGGAATTGACGGAATACCCATTGAAATACTTCAATAAATGGATGCTGCACTGGAGGCACTCATTTGTCTATGCTAAGAAATTTGGAAGACAGCTGCCTGGCCAACTGACTGGAAGAGATCCATATTTGTACCCATCCCAAAGAAAGGTGATCCCACAGAATGTGAAAATTATCAAACAATATAATTAATATCACACGCAAGTAGAGTCTTGTTGAAGATAATAAAGATAATAACGGCTGCAGTAGTATATTGACAGGGAACTTCCAGAAATGCAAACTGGATTCAGAACAGGACATGCAATGAAGAATATCATAGCTGATGCCAGATGGTTCTTGGCTGAAAGCGAAGAATACCAGAAAGATGTTTACTTGTGTTTTTTTGAATATGCAAAAGCATTCGATTGTGTGGATCATGACAAGTTATGGATACATTTGAGAAGAATGGGAATTCCAGAACACTTAATTGTGCTCATGAGGAACCTGTACATAGACCAGGAAACTGTCATTCGAACAGAAAAAGGGGATACTGCATGATTTACAATCAGGAAGGGAGTGTGTGAAGGTTGTATCCTTTCACCAAACTTATCCATTCTGTATGCTGAGCAAATAAGGATTGGAGGAAGACTCATTAGCAACCTGCGATAAGCAGACGACACAACCTTGCTTGCTGAAAGTGAAGATGAAGCACGCTACTGTGAGTTAGTCTTCAAAGAGATATCTTTGCTCTTCAGCACGTTAAAGAGGTCCTTTGAAGCAGATTTGTTCAGTACAATATGTCGTCTGATTTCTTGACTGCTGCTTCCATTGGTGTTGATTATGGGACCAAGTAATATGAAATCTTTGAGAACTTCAATTTTTTCTCCATTTATCATGATGATACTTGGGAGACTAAGGTGCACCTAATCCAAGCCATGGTGTTTTCAATCACCTCATATACATTTGAAAGCTGGACAGTTAATAAGGAAGACAGAAGAGTTGATGCTTTTGAGTTGTGGTGCTGGCGAAGAACACTGAAGGTACCGTGGACTGCCAGAAGAGCTAACAAATCTGTCCTGGAAGAAGTGCAGCCGGAATGCTCCTTGGAAGCTTCATCTCATGTGCTTTGGTCACGTTGTAGGAAGGGACCATTCCCTGCAGAAGAACATCATGCTTGGTAAAGTGGAGGGTCAGCAAAAAAGGGAAGGCCCTCAACGGGAGGGATGGACACAGTGGCTGCAACCCTGGGCTCAGGCATAGCAGGGATGGTGAGGCTGGCGCAGGACCGGGCAGAGTTTCGTTCTTCTGTACGTAGGGTTACTGTGAGTGAGAGCTGACTTGGTGGCACCTAACAACAACAGCATAGTCCCAGAGACCTTTAGTTAATTTAGTTTGTGATTTCAAGGTGAATGTCTCAGGTAAATGTCTCTCATTATAAAACATTTACCTGTCATACTTTCGAGGCTGGATTGATTTGTTTTTTCTTTTTTTTCAAATACGTATGGAAAACAGTATTTTCATTTACAGGAATTAGAAACAATAAGGATTCTCCCCAAGTGTTATTCATCTGTACTCGGTGTTACTAAGTTTTTGAGTTGTCATTTTGCATTGTACACAAAACATTTTGCAAAAGCAGGATATATTTTCCTCAACTAACATAACTACTGTGTGGTATGTGCGATTAGTAATTTCTTTCATATTTGTATTTGTTTTAGAAAGTTAAGCAGTGCAAAAAGAAGCAACCAGATGGCGTCCTCACCAAGGAATTGTTACGTTCAGTGTGTCCTGAATCTCCAAGTCTCAAAGCTTCCTTGTGTTTTAAGGAACAGACTCTGCTCCCTGTGAGTGACGCTCTTCGAACTATAGAGGGCAGCAATTCTGCAGACAATCGTTACAGTGACTATGAGGAAGCGTTTTCCAAGTCGGAACCTGGTGTCGTCAGCTTAGAGTACGGCGTGGCAAGAATGACTTGCTAGACTCAGTGGGTGTTTCCTGGACTAGCCCTAGTGCAAGCACTAACTGGGTTATTGTGAGGATGGTCTGTGCTGCGTGCCCAGAAAGGACTTTTGCTACTAATGAGCTTATGGTTTAACGGTAGGTTAATAGTTGGAGAAAGAAAAATAACTACTTGTGACAAACAAGTCAGTTTAATTGCATTTTTAGCAAGGAATGATGCCGAGTTTGGTAAGAAATGAGTGGTGGTTGGGGGATTTTCTCAAAACACGGTTTGCACTGTACACTAGGGAATTGACACTTATATATGTTTATGTGTTAATTACAGCCAAACATGAATAACCTTCCTTAAGTCTAACACAAAACAAAACTTGACAAAATGGGCCCTCACTCAGTAACGAGGCATGTGCTTTCAGTTTTGCAGTGTTAACTATGACTACATACATATATTTTGCCAATTGGTGATGTTCGATGTTGATGTACCACAAGAAAGATTTCTAAGAAGGCCTTAAAAAATAAATTTTCAGTTCATTCTTTACCTTTATATTTGTATAGCCTGAAGCAGGGTTTTCTGTGTTGTTTTCATTTTGGTCGGCCCTGTTTTATTTGTGAAGGACTTTTCATACTGTGGGAGTTGCTCTAATAAGAAAAACACTCCTGTATACACAGTTGCCAAAGTGTGTGATTTTGTTCTGTCTCACTGGTCCACCTCCACATACAAAATTAGTTAAAACAGGTTTTCTTCTAATTACAATTTGTTTGGTGTTAATTTGGTGACTTGCTCTTTGCAACGTCTGTAGATTATTGATTTCTTAAACATGTACCACAGCTTTGACTGCCTTTTGTATATGGATTACCACTTTCTGTTGATTTGTGTTTAATGGTTGGCTTTATTCCATTGGTAACTATGTAAATTTCAAGAGAAAAGTTCTAATATGGTTTTAGAAAGAAAGAATAGTCCATATTTAAAGGAATAGTGCATATTTAAATACAAACAAAGTGCTTTATCTTTCACTAACTTTCAGTTTATCTAAACACTGATGGTTTAAAAAAAAAAAAGCAGTCATTTCTGTGTGGAACATTTTTTTTCTTCCGTCTGTTGAATACAGATGGAAAAAAAAAATAAGGAACTTAAGGAGAGCCTAATATAAAGTTAATGGTTAACAAAAACAAACCTTGACAAGGAAGGGGTTTCATTTTACCATGTCATTTTAACTGTTTGTTCCATGTAGTAGTACTTACCTTTAAATTAACAAACAAACCAAAAAAATCATTTGCGATTGGCAACACCATTCAGCTGGGATTAAAATTGAAGTTTCATTAACATGGGTGACACAAGGTACAATTCCAGGGTATGGGGAATTTGCCATAGGCTCTCCTACACTCTTACTGCGCCTGTATCTGTTATATTTAGTTTTGAACATAACAGTTTTTTTTTAATGGAAAAAGCTTTACTGTATGAGAGTTTATCGAATCCTGTTTATTTTTCCAGTGCTTTTCTGTAGCACAGTATGTAATAAGAAAAATGGACTGTAAATTATGGTTTGCGACTTAGCCAAGCAAATTCCCATGTGGAAACTTCGTCTCTGTGGCAACAAAGGGAAGCTTTTGTGCCTTGTTACTTGGTTCCAGTCACTGATTTTGGTTTTGGAATCTTCTGGTGTTTAACTCTTTGGTCTACCACCTTAACTGCCAACTTGAGACATACATGCGTGTTTATTTGCTCACACATAGACTGAGGACTCAGTTAACATCCGAAGACACCTCTGGGGGTATCTTTTGGCAAAAAGCAGATAGTGTATATGTCTTAGAAAATTGGATTGACTTTCAGTGTGTTTGGGAATGTAAAGCATGTAAATTATTTCGTATATTATTTAAAGGTAATTAAATATTCATGTTTCACTTTGATTGGTTTTTTTTTGAAAAATCAAATGGAATCATGTTTTTTTTTCCACCTAAGCAGGTGGACCTACACATTACATACAGGAACCATAACAATATAGATGATTGGAGCAGTTCATGTTCTGAAAGAATGATGTCCATAAATATCTATTAATAAAAAAATTTTCAAAATATTTAAAATAAGTACTGTGGGGGAAGTAGATTGCCCAGTCTTCCTTCCGTAGAGTGGCTG